CAGAGCACTTGTTTCCAAAATGGCTGATCTATAAGTTGTTTGGACAACTTGGGACATTTTTGTGATTAGGTCACAGGTGAGATTTCCTTCTATTTACTTTTCCAAACAGATCATGTTTGTGCAAACAACTCTGCACAGTGAACTGGTGCACCACCACTCCTGTGTCAGCTATACCTTCCTACAGGCCCTTTACTGTCATATGGGAGTTTTGCTTTGCCTTTCTGGCCAGCATACGGGAGGTTCTATCTGAGAGGTTTTCTTGGTCTTCCAGATCTTGTCTTGACTTCCACAGTTCCCCTCAACTGCCATTTCTTAATTTAACGCATTCAGATCCAGCAAATATAAAGTAACTGTGCAATAATATTTGCAAGAAAATGTTATGTTTAAAAATAGTGTGATAAAGATGTGTCTTACTTCTTTTTTTACTCCAAAAATCGATAAAATATGTCATTTGGCCAAGGGCGCCCAAACTTTTATGGATCAAATCACAGTAGCCATGCTTACATACAGCCTTATAATCCATAAATAATCTGACTAATATCTTAATTAGAATAAAATACGTCCGTGTATACACTATTCTGTTTGAGGCTATTCGGAAAACCTTTTCTATCAGATTGAACAAGGTGGGTAGTCCTGTAAATAATCTGTTAAGTAGAAGAGCAACACTCACGCAAATGCCTTATCCAATTACAATCCCAATCCGAAAGTTGACGTGTGCATTGCATTTATGTGAGGTCTTTATCGATGCGGACTCAGCAGCGGCTTCTTACCCAAAATTCCTCAAGACATAGCCAAGGGCCAATCAGAGTGGAGAACAGAACATGTACAGCCTGTGATATGCAGGATTCTGTCCCAAATGCATGCTTTTGAACCTAGTGCCCTCGAAGTCTCTTGCCCTTGAAATCTGCAAATTGTAGACTTTGAGGAAGATCACATGGCTTTTGGGACAGGCCCGTTCCCAAACAACATACAGTGTGTGTGGAAGCCATTGTATGCCATTTGTAGTGCACTATATAGGAACTAAGGAGCCATCAGAGATTCAGGTGTAGTCTATTTTTATCACCTCCACTAGAAGGAGAAAGATTCAGTCTATTTATACCACCTGCGTGGCAAACGTACCTCCGAGTGCCAAGCACCCGCGCTTTCTAATAAAGTGGCCAGTGAGTGGAAACATGAGGTGGGTGTTTCTAATAAAGTGGCCAGTGAGTGGAAGCATGAGGTGGGTGTTTCTAATAAAGTGGCCAGTGAGTGGAAGCACGAGGTGGGTGTTTCTAATAAAGTGGCCAGTGAGTGGAAGCACAAGGTAGGTGTTTCTAATAAAGTGGCTAGTGAGAAGTACAAAGTGGGTGGAACCACTCACTGCCAAGCACCCACGCTAACACAGTAAGCTGGGCTGACCACAATAACTGCCCCATATATATATAAAGACTTTTTGCGATGTTCCTGTGTGTCTCTTCATTAGGACAGGGGGGCTAAGGCTATACTAGGGGGTCCAGGGACATAAGCTTGCAGGAGATTTTTTAATGGCACCAAAATATCTGTTCATCATGAACTTTTAGAGCAGCACCAGCCAGAAAATCAAAAAATGGCCATTTGGTCAAACTGGCAGACAGAAGATTGTATTAAGCGCAGAGCTAATATGACTAACACTGTATCCATCCACTTACAGCAGATCTAGATCAATCAAAGGTGATTTCGTAGGCATGTTTAATAAGCCAGGTGACAGAACTTTGCGGTCATGGTGACATATATTATATTTTCTCAGTTAAGTCCAATTAAATTCAGTATAAATTTGAACCAAAAGCTTATACAACTCTCCCTCGCTTTCTTCTTCATCACTAACCTTCATCGGATCTGCTCCTTCACCTCTGTCAGTCTCCTTCAGCTCCTCTCTCTCTCCTTCTCTTCCTGTGTTCCGTAATACATTATTTTATTAAACTCCGATTTACAGGAATTCAAGAAAATGATGAGAGAGATTAATCAGTTGAAGTCTTTGATTTAACTGGTAAAAATCTGCTCCTCTGACCGGAGCTTTCGCCTCTTCATTTCCATCTACAGGTTGAGGAATTGACAGTTATAAAACTGCATTTTGATCAACACTATATGACATTAACTTAGCATGAACAACAAATTATGGCAAATACTGGTGTCACTGTTTCCAAATACTGAAGAGAAATACACTATATTGGCAAAAGTATTCACTCACTTATCCAAATCATTGAATTCAGGTGTTCCCTTCACTTCTATGGCCACAGGTGTGTAAAACTAAGCACCTAGGCATGCAGACTGCTTCTACAGACATTAGTGAAAGAATGGGTCGCTCTCAGGAGCTCAGTGAATTCCAGCGTGGTACCGTGATAGGACGCCACCTGTGCAAGTCCAGTCATGAAATTTCCTCTCTACTAAATATTCCACAGTCAACTGTCAGTGGTATTATAACAAAGTGGAAGAGACTGGGAACGACAGCAACTCAGCCACGAAGTGGTCGGCCACGTAAATGACAGAGCGGGGTCAGCGGATGCTGAGGCGCAGAGTGCGCAGAGGTCGTCGACTTTCTGCAGAGTCAATCGCTACAGACCTCCAAACTTCATGTGGCCTTCAGATTAGCTCAAGAACAGCGTAGAGAGCTTCATGGAATGGGTTTCCATGGCCGAGCAGCTGCATCCAAGCCTTACATCACCAAACGCAATGCAAAGCGTCGAATGCAGTGGTGTAAAGTGCCGCCACTGGACTCTAGAGCAGTGGAGACGTTCTCTGGAGTGACGAATCACGCTTCTCCATCTGGCAATCCGATGGATGAGTCTGGGTTTGGCGGTTGCCAGGAGACGGTACTTGTCTGACTGCATTGTGCCAAGTGTAAAGTTTGGTGGAGGGGGATTATGGTGTGGTGTTGTTTTTCAGGAGTTGGGCTCGGCCCCTTAGTTCCAGTGAAAGGAACTCTTAATGCTTCAGCACCAAGAGATTTTGGACAATTTCATGCTCCCAACTTTGTGGGAACAGTTTGGCGATGGCCCCTTCCTGTTCCAACATAACTGCGCACCAGTGCACAAAGCAGCTCCATAAAGACATGGATGAGCGAGTTTGGTGTGGAAGAACTTGACTGGCCTGCACCTCAACCTGATAGAACACCTTTGGGATGAATTAGAGACTTTGAGCCAGGCCTTCTCGTCCAACATCAGTGTCTGACCTCACAAACGCGCTTCTGGAAGAATGGTCAAAAATTCCCATAAACACTCCTAAACCTTGTGGAAAGCCTTCCCAGAAGAGTGGAAGCTGTTATAGCTGCAAATGGTGAGCCGACATCATAGTAAACCCTATGGATTAAGAATGGGATGTCACTCAAGTTCATATGCGTGTGAAGGCAGACGAGCAACAACTTTTGGCAATATAGTGTATAAAAACAAAGAATATAAAACTATCAGTAACATTATTTCAATCCCTGTCACTTGTTAACATTCTCACACTTTTGATATGACATTAAACTAGTTGACTTGCCAGCTAGCTAATGATAGTGTTAGCCTAGCCCTTTTTCTATGCTCCACGTAAACACAAAATTAGCTAAACTAGCTAACAACTGAGTAAAAAAGCTATACTGACCATAATTTACCACAAATCCATATCCTAGGTTGGAATCTTCATCTGTAACTACTTACTGTTTCCCTCTATATATCACAGGTTTTGAATGGCTAATGTGTATTTTAGTGAGCTTTTAGCTAAAATCCTGTTGCAGCTTCAGTGGTTGCCGACTTAGGTTACTTTGCAGAGCAAGCAAAACCAGAGACCCCTTTCCAGCTCGGATATGATTGGCTTACAACTTATGAGGTCTGATATGATTGGCTTACAACGTATGAGGTTTGATATGATTGGCTTACAACTTATGAGGTCTGATATGATTGGCTTACCACTTACAAGGTCCAATATGGTTGGCTTACAAGTCATGAATCTGATATTATTAACCTACAACTTATGAGGTCTGATTTGATTGGCCTACAAATTATGAGGTCTGATATGATCGGCATACAAGACCTCATATGATTGGCCTACAACGTATAAGGTCTAAAATGATTGGCTTACAACCTATGAGGTCTGATATAATTGGCCTACAACTTATGAGGTCTAATATGATTGACTTACAATTTATAAGCTGTGATATTGTTGGCTTACAATTTATGAGGTCTGATTTGATTGGCTTACAATGTATGAGGTTTGATATGATTGGCTTACAACCTATGTGGTCTGATATGATTGGCTTACAACTTACGAGGTCTGATATAATAGGCCTTCAAATGGCGAGGTCCGATATTATTGGCCTACAACTTATGAGGTCCAATATGATTGACCCACAACTTATGAAGTCAGATATTATTGGCTTACAACTTCCAAGGTCTGATATAATTGGCTTACAACTTGCAAGGTCCAATATGATTGGCTCACCATTTACACAGTCTGATATGATTGGCTTAAAACTTACAAGGTCAGATATGATTGGCTTACAACTTATGAGGTTTGATATGATTTGCTTACCACTTCTGAGGTCTGATATGATTGGCTTGCAACTTATGATGTCTGATATGTTTGGCTTACAACTTATGAGGTCTGATATGGTTGGCTTACAACTTATGAGGTCTGATATGATTGGCCTACAACTTACAATGTCTGATATGATTGGCCTACAACTTACAAGGTCTGATATGATTGGCTTACCACTTAGGAGATCTGATATAGTTGGCCTACAACTTTTGAGGTCTGATATGATTGGCTTACAACTTACAAGTTCTAATATGATTGGCTGACAGCTTATGAGGTCTGATATGATTGGCTTACAACTTACAAGGTCTGAGAGGATTGGCTTACATCTTATGAGGTTTGATACAATTGGCTTACAACTTGGAAGGTCTGAAAATATTAGCTTGCAACTTATGAAGTCCGATATGACTGGCTGCTATCGTCCAGCCAATCGTAGCACAGGAGGCGGGGCTTGTCCCAATACAGGTGGGGAGGGAAAACACTTCGCAACTGAAGTTCGGTTCTCTGCTCCGTTTGGCTCGTAAATGTTTTAAACAGTTTCAAACCTTCCCTGATATTAGAAGAGTCCGTTAACGACATATATATATATATATTTTTTTTTAATCTTCGCGCGTGCCCTTGGTCGAACAGAGCAAGCGCGCGCAGGCCCATACACACACACACGCGCACAGACGGTTGGCTAACACTCCCACTACAAGAGGGCTCTCTGCGCTGGAATCTGCGATTCACAGCATCTGAAGCTAAAGAGGGGACAAACAGGCAGATAGAGCCTCGCCAGCAGGACGAAGGTGAGTAAGCAATCTTTCAAAACAAGCAAACAAACAAACACGAGGCTGAAGTGAGCTTCTTACTCGCCAGCTTCTTGAATTTTCCCGTTCCACCTTAAATGCTGCAGCAGTTACATTCTGCACTGTTTAAGGTGGAACGGGAAGATTCGAACAAGAAACTGGCGAAAACGAAGCTTCGTCTGGTTTATAAAGAGGAGGATTGACTCTAAAATGCAGGTGAAATTAAAAGTGGATCCATTTTTTTGGAAGGTACATGGTTCTGCTCGTTGTTCAACATTAGTGGGATTAACCGGCGGCTGTATCCGAATCATGAAGGAATCGGTTCTTCCGTCAACAGAAGTCCAACCTAATCGAACTGTTCAGTAGCTTTGAAGCATCTATTCGGCGCAGTGATTCTGTCTCTGTTATAGGCTGAAGGATTGAGCTATAAAATGGAACAATAATCTTTTTCCCTCAGTCACGACCTAAAACAGCTGGTTATTGTTGATATGTCCATTTGTGAATAGAAGCAGCAGACATCAGACTCACTGAATCGGAGAATACATTCTTGAATCGCGAATCTTTTTATCGAACATTTGACTCATTTAAACGGACAGTTCGAAAGAATCGGTTCAGTAAAGGGAATCAATCTTTCTCTTTCTAATAACATATTTCAGGTGAAGTCTGGCTGTACTGTGAAGCTCGCCAACACGTTTACCCATTTATACCTATATTAAAGTGTCCAGCTTAGCCATTTTCTCCATATTTTACACTAAGTGTGAATGCTGGTCATTTGCTTTGGCTGGGTTTACATTTATGCTAGTGGGTTTAAATTATGCTAGCAACTAGTGCTAAGTGGTATTGCTGAAGTTCCTTATTGTGTTATTGAAAAATATCACAGTATTGGATAATATTTCTTAGGCTTAGGCATTCTTAGGCTTGTTTTAGTCTAGTATGTGGCTGGACCCTCGGCCCAGATCAGGCCTGCACTCTGTAAAAAGAGTAGACCTAACAAATGTGGCCCAAATCTGTCCCAGCTACCTTGCTGGGCCATAACAATGATGGCAGAATCGGCCCACAGACGTAAACATGAGGCAAGCTGCACAGCATCTGGCTCTATTCTGGCCTGCATGCCTAACATCTGCCCGGTGGTCACCCAACACTCGCTTATGAAAGCCGGGATCGGGCCAGAGCTGTCTGCTATCTGGGATTCAAGTTGGAAATAATAAGGTTATTGAAGTTATTCCTGGCTACTGCCCGCCCATGCTGAAAGAACATCTTACAAACCTGGCTTTATGTGTTTTGATAGGACTGTTGTGTTCTGCTTCTCTTAAAATGACACCAGAGGGAACTTGAAACATGGCTGGAGATGTTGGCCTTTCCCTGAAAGGAAACTTAGTATTTTTGTATTTTTTTTTATAGGTTTCAAAACGCTAGGTCTGGAGAGCATGATTAAAGTGCACAATTTTTTTTTTTAAAAAGCTAGAAAACAAAAGCACCACTAATGTTATTTGTTGGAATTACTATATTATAGATACTATGATAATTTTCTGTCAGATATGAAGCTACAGAGTTACAAAACTAAAAAACCAGTAGCATGGTTAGTCAACATTATGGTAAACCAGTGTAGGCCTGCACTTGTAGCAAGGCTTTATGGTGTCTTTACTTTGGATAACATGGGGAATTTCACTAAATAGCTGATTGTGGAGTTTGTGGAAATAAACTTAAAAGATGTACGCATCGCTGTATATGTTGTAAACTCACATAATTGCTTCCTAGAGCATGCCGTAGTAGTCCCTAGAGGGAAAATTTCCAGTTTAAAGACTAAAACCCCCTTCTGATGATGTATTTAGAAGGTGGGAGGAGCTACAAGCGGAGTGGTTGCTTGAGGGGGAGCATTTTTAATTTTATTTTTTGTTTTTCCACTATCTGGCTAACGCTGAAGGAAGTCAGAAACATCATGTCTGTATTTATTAGCCTTGCGCTCTCAGTCATAATTTGGTTATCACTCTGGGCTGGGGGATATATTTGCATAAAGCATGCTGGGTATTGTAGTGAGAGAGCATTGACAACCCAAAAAGGAAATATAAAATTGTGTATTCTATCAAAACAATACAGTAAGACTAACAAATAGCATCATGTGTTAGTTTTAGAAATTCCCCTTTAAGCGGTATTTCAGCAGTTTTTTGGTTTGTTGTGAATTGAGGCACATATTCTAGGTCCTTGATGTGAAGCACCACATCCTCCTTCATTGTCTTTCTGGCCCTCAGGCAACACTTATGAGGTCAGTTATGATTCCTAGCATTTGGGTAACAGTTATTTGGTCACTTCTGATTCCTGACATTCAGTTTAGTTGTTTTTCCTGCCTTCTGCTTTTTTGAAGAGTGTTCAAAGATGTGTGAGGCGTGTGGAGGGGGTTTGGTTCCTCAGCTGAAGGAACATGCTGTTCTCTTTGTGTGTGGACAAACCAAGAGGGGGTCCAACATTCTGGGACCTTCAAATCAAGCAGCGTTTGTTTTTTTGGGGGTGTGGTAAAAGTGAGTGTAGTAAACTAATCAGCAACTGCGAGCAAACCAAACATTGAGAAGCTGTATAACCAAATTAAAAACTTTTAAATAACTCGTCTCTTGAATAGATAGTATTTCGTAGCATGTAGTTTGATGAAAGTTGTGAAAATGCACCTACTGATCGCTCTGCCACATTCAGTAGTGAAAATGTAGGTGGACAGATCATTTTTGCAAGCTAATATTAGATTATTTCACTAATATTTCTGTTATTTGTTTGTCCATCCCCCCTCCAGATAGCATAAGGGTCTAACCAGGGAGGCGAGGCCCTCATGTGAAGTCAAAATGAGGCTTGGCCAGTTTTGTGGTTGTGTCGAACCGGTTCTATCCAGCTCTAGCACTCAAATACTTCTCCCTTTCCTCTGAAAGTCAGACTCCCCTCCCCCAGTGCCGCTGCGAACAGGCCCCCCTCACCTCCTGCCTGCTGTTTGCCTGTCATCAGCCCCCCTTTCACACATGCAGTTGTACTTACGGGTTGAACAGTCAGTCAAAAGTTTCCCCATACATGTTCAATCTGGTGACCGTGAAGGCCAAAGCATATGATTTCCATCATTTTCAAGCACATAAAATCAATAAGTGAGCCATTATGCCCTGTGAGTGGGGCCATTGTTGATGATGGTCAGTCAGAATGTCTTTGTATTCATTTGCAGTGACATACTGCCCCCCACAGCATAACACAACCACAACAACCGGCCTGCTATGTCTTCTTGGTGTTCGCTGCACATGCACTCTCCCACTTGTGGAGAATATGGCGAATCTTTTGTTTTATATCATGGTTTTCACGCCTCCGTAGACCAGTTCTAGTGGTTTGAACTCTGAAATTTTGTCATTTGTCTTTCTAATGAGGGGTTTATGCACTGCTGCCCTACCATAATGTCCCTCTTTATGTAGTTTTGGATGGACTGTTCTTGCCGACAGTCTGATTACGGCCTTCATTGACATTCACAGTCACTTGAGGAACAGTTATCAGTGTTACGGTCATTAAATGTGACTTCAATTTCAAATTTTGTCACCTGCCTATATAAGTATGTGAGCGTGCATAATGTGAAAAAACACATCAAGTTGTAAAAGCCCCTAAAAGTTAATACTATACATAGCTGATGGACTCATGTGGCAAAATTCTAACTATGGGACGACAACATGGCGGTACTCAATTTTATACCATAACCTACCTACCTACATGGAATAGTTCGGCAAAAAGTCACATGTACATGATTTTCCACGTACTCCGAATGCAGTTGACCGCCCAGGACAGGTGGTGTCCAAATTTTGCTTTTCTTTAGTTTAGAACTGGAAATATGATGCTAACGTTGCTAACAAACACCGTAGGTCAGTAGTCACCCAAACTGTCGCCAGAAATACATGCCCAAAACTTTTCTCAACTGAAACACATCCATGAATTCTAGTTGATGTGACTTGGAACACAGTAAGAGTCACTTTGACGTTTATGATGGGCAGCCTTTTTAGGTAACTGGAATCACTTCTTTCTTTAGCAAAATGTATCATTTCATGCAAGATGACCAAATTTGGGGCTCAGGGAATTTCTAATGTTACTATTCCTTTAACAGCCTAAAACTATCTTTTAATACAGTTATTCAAAACCTTGAACATACACATTCAAATGGCATGTTTTGTTGATTTTCTAAGGGAAAATAAGTTAATACATCCTCTACAGTTAACACACCCAAAAATGGCATTTGTCTGCAAATTTTAGTGCACAATTTCTATTTATTTGCTGAGTTTATAAATACACATAAATAAAATTATAAAATGTGCCATAACTTTTGCACATGCCACATTTTATTTTTAATTTTTTACTCCAATACATTTAATTGAGCGAATAAACAGTATGTATGCCTTAAATGTGTAGAATTTGCAGATGTATGGAAGTTTGTTAACTTATTTTCATTTACAAAAGCAACAAAACTTGTGTTTTGACCAGGAGCGGCTAACTTTTGGTGTTCTTTCACTACGATACCCGGCATACATCACGCAAATCATACAACCAGCCTGCCCCAAAGTGCTTGTACTTCCTGCCACCTTCATGATACATCATCAAAAGGGAGTGTTTAGCTTTCAAACCAGAAAATTTCACTCTGAAGACACAGTTTTGGACAAAGTACCCCTTTAAATTTATGCAAGAAAATTCCAATGCAAAAAAAAAAAAGTTTGAGATCATCAAATTACCTTTAATATTAGGCAAAGATAACCCAAGTAAACGCAAATGAAAAATTCTGTTCAGCCCTACCTGGCCCTATGTGATTTTCCCCTTAGCTACTAAATCAAGCATTTAACCTAATTCAATTGACTGTTTGGTTCAGTTTCACTAGCCACACCCAGGCATGATTACCACCAGACCTGTTGAATCTAAACATCACTTAAATAGAACCTGTCTGGCAATGTGAAGCAGGCTAAGTCTCAAAAAGCAGCGCATGATGCCTCGTTCTGAAGAGATTT